ATATTCACATGGGAATCAATCTTTTTGAGAACCTGATAAATGCAAGGCACTGCCATGAACTTAACACCTCATTTAATCCTCCTAGTGACCCTATGAAGGTTTTATTGTCCCTCTTTTACAGATGAGAAAACAGGCTAGTTAGATGTGTGAGCATAGTTGTACAGTTTAATGGTAGCATACCTATTAAAACCCAGGTTTGGCCCTGGCCAGTGTGAATCAGTTGGTTGAGCATTATCCCATGCATCAAGAGGTCACCAGTTCGATTCCTGGTCAGGGCACATGCCTGGGTTGCAGGCTCAATCTCCATTAGGGGGCTTGTATTAATAGGAGGCAGCCAATGGATGTTTTTCTCTTTCTCTCTCTGTGTCCTTCTCTCTTCCTCTATCTCTAAAATCAACTTTAAAAAACCATATTTAAAAAAAAAAGCAAAAAAAACCAAAACAATAACAAAACAAGTTTGCCTAATTCCAAAGCTCATGCTCTTTCTACTTACTATACCAGGTAATCTCTGGAAAATCTTCCTTTTCCAATAACATGGCATTTATGAAGTTGTTTATGGTTTTCTAAGTTAATGCTATTTGCCAATATGGCCAAATGGTGTGTATTTATTAATCATAAACATGAGAGGTGTCCTCCAGCACAAAAAGCTTCCAACACATCTGTCATAGACTGGTGGCCCTCATGGCCCTGGTCACTGGTCTCCTTGTAGTCACACTTTTAGCAACGTGACTCTGCAGTGCCTCCAATTAAGGGGTAGAATATATTTCTCAGCCTTTCAATCTGGGCTGCTCTTGTGACTTGTTTATGAACAGGATATGGTGGAATGATTGAGATCTGGGCCTACGCCTCAAGAGGCCTTCTGGCATCTGCTGTCACTTAGATCCCTGGACGAGGCAGCTGAAGGACGTGAGGGACACACAAAGAGACTCCAGTCACCCAGAATTCCCAGGTGGAGACATCCTAGACCAGTTTGTTAACCACAGACACCTGTGTGAGTTGTCATGCTCAACTGGGCCCCGCCCAGATCAGTAGAAGCGCCTAGTCAATAGGTGAACTCATAAAACATAATGTATGCTGCATTTCGGAGTGGTTTTTATTTTTTTATTTTTTAAATAAATTTTTATTGCTCAGATTATTACAGTTGTTTCTCCTTTTTGCCCCCATAGTTCCCTTCCACCTGGTTCCCACCTCACCCTCTGCCTTTAACACACACCCCCATTGTCCTCATCCATAGGTGTACGATTTTAATCCAGTCTCTTCCTGCACACACACCCCCCACACACACACACACACACGTGGAGTGGTTTTTAATGTATCAGTAGCTAATTAATATAACAAACAAGTAATTTTCTCTTTAATTAGAGGTGGATAAATCCAGGGCATTTACTGTTTCATTTGTCAATCAGTACTTAAGTTTGGACTGATTGTTCCCTAGATCTGCTGTGCAGCTGTCATCTCGGGATCCCTCTTTATCATCATCTTAGGAATTCCTTTTACTTTGTTTTCTGAAGCTCATGCCTTCCTCTTTCTTGGCAACTCCCTTATTTTGCTGGAGTACATCCTTTGGGAGTTGCCTGAGAATGGGAGAGTAGGTTTGATGACAGTGCGTATTTACAATGCCTTCATTCTATCTTTTCACTTAATTTGTGGTTTAGCTAAATCAGAGTTCTAGCTTGGAAACATTTCCCTCAGGATTTTGAATGCACTGTTTCATGGTATTCAATATGGCTATTGGGAAGTCTGATTCTATTTGGATTCTTGATCTTCTTTACTATCAATTTTTCTCTCTCTAGAGCTTATAGAACAATCTCTTTTGCCTCCATTGTTATGACTTCTTAAAATGATGTACTGTTGTGGCTCTGTTTTCATCTATTGTGCTGAGCTAGATATGCATGTAGTTCAATTCTGGGAAATGGTTTTGATTTATTTCTTGGATGATTTCTTTCTCATTTTCTCTCTTTCTGCAACTCCTATTATTTGCATTGTAGATTTCCTAGAATGATTCTCCACTGTTCTCCTCTGTTGCCATTGCTTTGTCTTCACTCTATTTTCTGAGACATTTCTGCAGCTGTATTTTCTAAACCTTCTTTTGAGTTTATTTTAAAATCTGTGCTTTTGTGTTTAAATTTTCAAAAGCTCCTTTTTTGAGTGTTCCCTGAATGTTTTTGCCCTACCATTGTGTTCTTGTTTCATAGCAATACGATATCCTCCTATATTACTGAGGTTATTGAGGGATCTGTTTTATTTATTTATTTTTTCTGTGAATCCCCTCAATTTCTCATGTGCAAGAGTGAACTACAGAAAGCTAAGAGAGCCTATGGATCCTGCTGAAGCTTCAGATGTGATCCTCACTGTAGATTGCTTTGCTGGGCTATGTCCTTGGGGAACTATCACGTTAGTATCTTTATGGTTTTCTCTCAGGCTTATCAGATTTCCCAGAAAGCCTGAACTTCTGCCCGGAGGATCCATGCTTGGCTGTTGATGTCTGGGAGCCAAGTTTCAAGAGGTTAGGCAGTCTTGACATTCCTTACGCATGGCTTCACTTTTCAGTGCTGTTTCCAGTGTCAACTGTGTGTGCCTTGTTGCCCTTCACTCAGAGACTCTATTTTGCCCCTTGCAGAGGATAAACATCTAGTCACTTGCTGGCATTGGGAAAGAGCAGTCACTCAGCTACTTAGAGTGGGGAAGGAGATCTGGGGTTTTTAAGTAGACTTTAAACTCACCCTCCTAATTTTGGTCTTGCCTTCTCTACCATATCCAGAGGTAACTGATGCTGCCAATTCCTGGGCCTTTTGGAGGGTGGGATGGAATTCTGCTACACAAATGTGGTTGCTTCTCAACTTTCCCCCATTTCTGGCTTAAGATTTAGTTTTTCTATATATACTCAGTCAATTACCAATGAGCCGTCACATCCAACTTCAGATTTGTGTTACTATGGCGTCTTCCTCCATTTTCCTTGGCCCTGCTTGGTTATGCCTTTTTAAAAATATATATATTTTTATTGATTTTTTACAGAGAGGAAGAGAGAGGGATAGAGAGTCAGAGACATCGATGAGAGAATCATTGATCAACTGCCTCTTGCACACCCCCTACTGGGGATGTGCCTGCAACCAAGGTACATGCCCTTGACTGGAACCAAACTAGGGACCCTTTAGTCCACAGGCTCTATCCACTGAGCCAAATCAGTTTCGGCTGGGTTATGCCTTTTTTGGAATACCTCCTATTGTCCTTTGAGTCTTGCATGAGGAAATGGAGATATGTTCACTTTCCTCTCTTTTCCTGAAAAGTAGTTCTTTGCTTTAAAGAAATAACACTTCATATCTCATTTAGTTTGAAATATGTGGACCATACACCTTTCATAGAATATTAAACTTCCTCCAAAAGAAGTTTCTCAAGTGATGGAGTTTTTCCTTTTAGAAAAAAGAACATGAGTGTGAAGCTTCAGCCACCTGCTAAACCTTTGACCCTGTGCTTCTAAATTACCCCGACAGGCAGATAATCCCAGCTGTGCCCCTCCCATGTTCCCATCCTTCTTAAATCAGACACTCCTGAGTCCATTTTCTTTAATGTTTCAACAGTAGCTTTTTAATAGTTTCCAATAAATGCTTTCAACTGGGCAATGTACACATCATGCTTTCCTTGTTGTTACTGGCCCATCAATAAATATACAAAATTCAGGAGTACTGTGAAAAATCAAAATAACAATGGTCATCGTACACATGCAAACAATAAAATACTCTTGGAAAACTTAAAGGGATTTACAAAAGGTATAACTACGACACAAAAGTGAATGAACCATTCTATTGTTCGTAAGCACATTTTATCTTCTACAGAAGTGAGAGGTTTCCTTTCTCCTACTCCTTCTAAAATTAGTCATTGGTGTCATGGTCTTGATGTACAACTTTTTGAGAGGTTTTGTTGGAGAAATCCATTCTGCAGGTTAAAATCTGTAAAATATAGATGTCTTTTGTCCAATTTTATTTTTCACCCAGTGCTCATTTAAAGGAAGCCCTCAGGAGATATAAAAGACTTATGATTATAGGAAAAATTATATCTTAAGCTCTCAGCACTGCAGACTTCTTATCGCTGCTCTTTTAACTTCACAAAACAATGAAATGCTGGCCCCTCGCTGATATAAGCACACTATTATGTCAAATGGGAGAGAATGCATCCCAGTCCATGAGCTTCAGGCAATAGTACAGGTGCAGTGCACCTAAGAGATGGAAGCTCTAGACTTCCTTATTCCTTTCTCGAAAACACAGAGGTATATCCCAGTGGGGACTACAACAATAAAAGGAAAGGTTATATTTCATTCCAAAATAAAGTAGGAAAAAAATCTCCTCTCTCAGCCTATTTGTTGGGAATGTGTAGAAGGGGTGGAAAACCACTCCTAGCTGAGACTTGAGTGACTATCCATGGCCCTAAAGAGAATCTGGGGGACAGTATAGGCCTATACTACCCTCCTGGACCTGATCCCAGACTGGCCTGTTGCACTCAGGTTAAAGACAGGAAAGATCTTGGAAAGCAGAAAGCACTTAGACACCAGTGGCAGTAACAACGGAGTGACCAGATAGATGTCCATTTTCTTTTCTTTCAACTTGAAAATAAAAAGAAAACCAAACAGCTGAATATGGAAGTGGGCCATACCATTCACAGAAGAAAAAGGGGTTTTCAAAGACCATGGAGGGGGGTTGTGAGGGGGACAGGGGAGAGCAGAGGTTGGAAATGAGCTCAGGAAGCAGGCTTCTCTCCTTTAAATATCTCCTTTAGAATCAATTCTGTGTGAGCCCAGCCAGGATTCATGTGGGAGTTTCTTTCCTTTTTCTCATTCTCCACGCCCACACCCGCCCCCTGCCTTCTCTTCTCTTCTCCACTTCTATTCCCTCTTCCTCCCTCTCCTTCTATCTCCTCCTCTTCTTCTCTCTTCCTCCTCCTCCTTTGCACATTCTTTCTCTCCTTCTTCCCCCTCTCCTCCCTTTCCTTCTTGTTTTTTTCTTTTCGTCTGAGAAACATTGCCAGTTAAGCATATTATTAGTTTAGGCAACAGATAACTTTTTATAGAGGCCTAATGAAGGAGCTCCCATTTTATAGGAGCTCTTACTTTAGAGATCTAATCTCTTCTATAAGTAGCTTTTAGAAGTCCCAGGATGAATGGGGCTTTCTGAAGATGTGAATAAAGACCACAGAGGACCTGCCAACCAAAGGATAAAGACATTAATCTTTTATTTAGACATAAACCTGGTATCTGGTAATAATTCTGAGTAGGTGGGAAACCCTGTAAACTTTTGAGATTCCCCAGGCACTTAACTTTCTGAGCAGTACCGTCATTGGGAACAGACAACTGGAATGTTAGAGTATAAACAATTACGGCCATAAAAATACTCAAACAGGATCTACACTACTCCCTCCCCTACTTCCTCAACCTGTGCAATCAGTGGCTACTGCCTATGCTCTTTCATGTCCATGGCTTCTCTTTGATAACAAGAGGCCAGAAGGCACTTTCATATTATTTTTGGACATCGCTGATGGGATCAGTGAAATGGGACTCCACAATGGTACGTCATGCAAATGTAATGTGACTTTTCATAGCCCTTCAAGGAGAGAATAGATGGCCATTATAACAGGAGAGCTGCTGAAGTCCCTCCTCTCACCATTTTGGTTGTAGGACCAGAGAGAAAGTCTTTGAGCCTCAGAAACCCAACTGCCTTCCTGGATCTTCTGTGAGTTTTCGGTGAGCGGGTCTGAGTAGGGACTGAGTTCTGAGATGAAATCTTCAGGGAGACCCTCCCACGTCTTCCTAATGAGCTGTTGAGACCCAGACCTTGCTGGTTAAGACCCTGAAGGATCACAGCACAAAGGGCAAAAGTAGAAGAAGTACAGATGTTTATTACGAATCAACTGAAACCCTTTTTAGGCCTCTGACAAAGTAACAAAACAAAACAAAAATCCTACTAACTACAGGACCTCCATGGTTTAATATTTCAAAAACAGAGATAAATATCTTACTACATTTAAATAGCATGATCCTTTGGGCATTCTCAATAGCATTGGGAAAATTTCTACAGCCTTTGTAGAAAGGGATGTATAACCAATACATCCCAGACCCCTTCCCCCATGGAAAGCAATGCGTAGGGACTGGGCCCCTGGATGGACAATGTAGCCCATTCAGATTTCCTTTTAGGAAACAATTCCTCTTAGCTCTGGGGTGGGGATGTCCTTAGCATGTGGCTGTCACCTAGGAGGTGGGGGAGGAGGGAAGGTTGAGGATCAGAAAGATGCATTTATGGCTTTTATTAGGTGCCATGCTAGCACACCCCAGGGAGTGGGAAGCTTCTAGGTGTGAACTGAAACCATCAAAATCTTGTCGATTGTTCATTGGACCCTCATTTCAGAAAGCAATGCTCTTTTTATAAATTCAGCTAACATCACAAAACAAAGCACAATAAACAAAAAGGAGTAGAAAATGTTATGCTAAAAAAAAAAAAAAAAAAAAACCAACACAAAACAAACCCCAATGAAATAATCAGTAGCACATTGCATCTGTGAGTGTCCCAGCTCCCTGTAACGGTTGTGTGTGATTTCTATCCACGGTCATGGTATAGGTGTTACACCCCAATCTTCATGTCAACGTTCTGTAGGTTCCGCGTCTCGTCGGCTGTCATACACTGGTCTGGGGTCTCCGATGATTCCTTGTTCACCAAATGCACCATCTCCTGAGACTTACTGGCCTCCCCGTTGAGTCCACTTGGCTTTCTGTCCTCCACAGCTCCATTCCCATTGATCACCAGCTTTTTCTTCTGCCCGCACCTGATAATGTAAAGGACATATGAGAAAAAGGTGCAATGACCCAATCATCAGCATCACAGACAACATCACCAACATCATCACTCCAGTTTATACTGGTCTTTAGTATGCTTCCTCTTACTGACTTTTAACAGTCAGCACTTCTTAAAGTGAGGTCCCCTGAACCAGCAATTAAAGTATCAGCTGTGAGCTTGTTAGAAATGCAAATTCTTGGGCCCAGATCTAGGCCTTCACAGGGTTTCTGATGCAGTGGTCACAGCTCAGAAAACCAATGCTATTTATTATTCCCTGCTACAGGTGAAGAAACCTTAGGGCTCAGAAAATTCAGTAACTCACCCCAGGTTACTCAACCCCTAGAGTATCTGACTCCCAAGTTCTAGTTCTCCTTTCACCATACTACGCAATGGAAATGTTTGCCTCTTATTAGTGCTTTAGCAATTTCCGCAGACTCAGATAAACCATCATGATGATCGTAAGTCATTCTGATTTGTGTATTCAAGAAAGTTTCATTAGATGGATGGAAAGAGATTAACCAAAGAACATATACACATATACGCATAGCTTATGGACACAAATAATAGTGTGGTGAAGGCCTGAGGATGGGTGGGGGTTAGATGGAAGAGGCAGGGGAAAGGGGAAATGGGAGATATCTATAATACTGTCAACAATTAAAAAAAAAAAAGTCCCATTAATGCCTCTCACAGTCAACATTGTGTTGACCTTGACGGGTTATTACTGCATGTACTGAGAAGAATGAAACAACATTTTTCTAGAACTATAGGCCGTATTGCTTTTCCCCAACATTGGTTACCTCCCATATAACCCTGGTTATAGGTTAACTACACAAGGCAAATAGTTCAATTACTTTAAGGTTTCTCACTAACATTTTCCTTAAGATGCAAATGCCAAAGGTTTTCTATGGAAGAGCATGACCTTGATCTTGTCCCTGCATCACAGTATTACCTCACCCCACGCAGCCTGACACAACGCTTCCTCTTTCCTGTAACATGATTGTGGCTGCACATCTAGACGTCAGACTGTGCTTCACGGAAGCAAAATTGCAGATCCTCACAACTATGGGGGATGAGGGGGGTAGGCTAGCATTTATTGGACACCTTCTGAGTGCCAGGCACTTCACATGTAACTCTATGTAGTCCTCACAATAATCCCACAATGCTGCTCTTATTCCCATTACAGGTCAGTGGAAACTGAGGCCCAGGGAGTTTAATAACTAACTTGAGATCACACAGTTCATAAGACAGAGTCAATATTCAACTCCAGGCCTTCATGACCCAAAGCCTGGACTCGGCCCAGCTCTCTTCATGTTGCCAACCATCTGGAGATGGGGAAATAGTATGTAGTCGGAATTGTTCACTTTGCCGCTGGATATTTGGAGTTGCGGAGACAAAGCCTCTATTATTCATGATCGTGGGCCATGCCTGCTAGCACTGCCAAGGCCGTAAACTTTAATCTCTTGTTTGGGGAAATAGAAATTATGCCTCCTCTATAGGAGTTAGATCCTGTCTCCTCTGGCGGGATGCTTGATGAGGGCAGAGAAAGGATGCTTGACCAGCGCTGCAGACCCATGGGACTGGGAGTGTGGATGCTATCCACATAGACAAGAACAGAGCTCTGGAGGCTTGGTTTTGAGACTCTATTGCCATATGACCTGGGGCAACTCACTTACCCTCTCTGAACCTCAACTTGCTTATCTGAAATATCAGACTATTAGGAGTACCACTTTCACAAGATTGTGGAAAGCCCTCAAAACAGAGCCTGGCTTTATTTGTTGCTTTTACACTGTGGGTGAGGAAACCAAAGCCTTGGGTAAGCACTTGGAACAGTATCTGGAAAACAGTAGATGTTCAAGAATCACCTGCTGTGACCTGGCTGGTGTGGCTCAGTTAGTTGGGCATTGTCCTGTGCACCAAAAGGACTAGGGTTCTATTTCCAGTCAGGGCACATGCCTAGGTTGTGGGCTCGATCCCCAATACAGGGCGTGGAGGAAACAGCTGATCAATATTCCTCTCACATCAATGTTTCTCTCCATTTCCTTCTCCCTTCTCTCTACAATCAATAGTGGGGTTTTTCTTTTTTCTTTTTAAACAATTACTGCTGTGATTAATATAGTGAGCACCACATGAAATGGGTTTCCCTTGCTTCTCTGGCTGCCTCTACTACTTCGTTACATTTACCATGAAGAGGACTTAAAAGCCTGAAGGTGGAACGCTGCTCATGCTATTTTAGATTCTCGGGTGGTATTTCCGGTGTTCTTTGAAAGAGAGGTGTCTCAGGAAAGTAATGGGAGCTAGAGAAGTTGAATGAAATATTGCAGAAAAGTGATTTATAAGCATAAACAGGCTCGTGCATGGGGGTGAAGTGGATTCATGTTACTCACGAAGACAAAGCTGGTTTTGGAAGTGAATAACATCTGACCTGCGGGGTTTGGGCTTTGCCCTGCCCCCGATTCCCTGTGGATTTATGTGTCTGGTCCCTGCCTGACTTCTTTCAGAAGGGCAGGATGATTCTCATAAATAACCCAGCCCAGTCTGCTGTGCTCCAGGCATCGAAATAAAGCACTTGAAAAACTCAAGTCCTAAGTTTTTTATTCTTCTTAGAGACATTTTAAAAGGAACATCAGCAATGAAGGAACTTGGGAGGCCAGCCAGCCCAGCCTTTTCATTGTGGAAACTGGATACTGATCCCAGAAATCAAGGCTGTCATCTGAGACCGCATTGCTAGCTATGACAGGGCGATGGTGTCTACGACTTAAGACTTTCTGAGTCCAAAGGTCAGAGATCTCCACCGAACGCCACCTTGCCTAGAAATCCTTTCATTGCTGTCCATAGTGACCGCGCAATGTGGAAGGACCCAGGCTGGAGCCTTGCCAGGAGAGGGTGGGCAGCCTGGGTGATGGGATTGGGTGGGGGTGGGGAGGAGGTACATCTAGGGCACAGAGGAATTTCCTTTGAAAGACAAAGGGAGTAAATTAACAACCGATCTTATGTCTTTTCTACCTGACAATCCTTAAAGCTATTTAGAGATGTATTGTGCTTTGTGTTAGAGCTGGGCCACTACCACATGTGGCTATTGAAATTTAAACTAATTAAAATAAATACAATTTTAAAATTCACTTAAGTGGCATTAGCCAATTTGGAGTGCTCAGTCACCCCCAGGATTCATGTTTGTGGATTGGACAGGACAGATGTAGAATCTTTCAGTCTTAGACAGCTCTGCTGGGCGGCTGTGTTCTCCAGGGTGGACCGAGGTCGGGTGAGGAGGGATTAGGGAGCCGGGCTGCAGCTTAAGGGAAGGCAGGACCAGCCACAGGGGATTATCTCCTTGAGAGTGAAATCTAGTGAAGGCCTTTTTTGCAGTCAGTGTAGAAACATTCCTGAATCATTCCTGTTTTGTAAAGCCTTTTTTGGTCATTATTTTTCTCCTCTTCATACAAATTGGATAAATTCTTTAAGGGAAAGGCACCTAACTTTTTCCTTAAGAACCAACCCAAATGACTCCTAAAACCTAATAGTTTTTTTCCTAAGGACAGTGACTAAAGTACAATTTTCATTGGCAAGTTGCAATTCAGGGACTCTGGTTACATGAAGAACAGCTAGGAAAGGTGATGTGGGTTATGATGGGGATGGGAAGAGCAGAGGGAATAACGGGACCCTGACATGAGCAGCTTTAAGATGACATGACTCACAGATGATGTTGTCATGGATACCTGTGGTCAACCCTTGACTGTCAACTTCAGTGACTAATGCTTTTCCATTTTTATCTTTTAACCATAATTCATAGGACAGTGCCTGGCACAGAGTATGTGCTCCATACACGTCAGCTGAGTCCAATCCAACAGGCCGATGTTGCCACCGAACCTCAAGATCCTTTTAGGGAAAGGGTGGTACTTTTTGTTTTTAATCTTCTCTTTCTCCTCACCAAGGTTGAGGGTCATAGCCGCCCCTCAAAAGATGTCTGTCGAATAAAGAAGTGCCTGTTGTAGGTCCCTACTTTCAACCCAACTTTCTTGGATGAAAATAGGATTCTGTGTGTCTCTAAAATGTAATGCTCCTAGCAGAAAGGCCCAGACTTTAAGAGGATTAGAAGAAGGCTGGCGACTTCAGAAACACAGCGCGCATGAAGGGGCCTGGGAAGCCATAACCATTAGTTAGCTGCTTGGCAAATCTGTTTTTGATTATCAGATCAGGACATGGTAATTTATGGCGCCCAAGCAGCTACTTTCCTGGTGAGATACATGCTGTGCTGGTTCCCGGGTGTCCCTGTCTGCCCGTTGCTAGGGTGACTGCTGGCCTTGGGAAGAGGGGGAGGGTGCAATGAGGCCCTTTTTGCTGCTCACATGATGGGGAGCGACGTGTAAGCTAACCAGCTGCACTGTAGGGGCTCTGGCTGCTCTCAAGGGCAGCAAAGATGCTTCTTTGAGGTCTCCCCCATCGACAGCACCAGGGGCCACGTTTCCATGGTGACATGCAGAGCTCATGGACTATACCTGTGAGCAGTGGCAGTGCATTCTAAGGCTTGGGGCAAAGGACTGATTTCCAACAATTGGGAATTCACATTTAGCTGAGTAAAAGTAACCCTAGGAAAAACAAGGAGGCTGAAAGAAAGTATAAAGACTCTTTGTAAGGGTCCCTCAAGTCACATTATTTAAATTCAACTAAAAAAAAAAAATCTCTTTCCATTTAGTCATAGGAGATTTCCAGGAGGACTTTCAGATTTTCTTTCCTCGTTTTGTTCCTTATACATTATACAATCAACTACCACGACTATTTTTATCATGCCCTCAAAGGCACAGAGAGCAACACAGCTCTTCAACATTAATATAGCACTTTTATTAACTTGTACCAGTGTCAGGCGGCATTATTTAATTTCCTTGGATAATTAGAGATACTGCCTGGGCCCCCCATCCCCCAACAGCAGTGGAATTAGGTATTTGCTGTTTTCCAAAAGCCAATGAGAAGCATTCAATCATTTTCTCAGGTCCTCTCCCAAACCCGAGGCATTTTTCTGGCCTGTTAGATGCTCCAGTGATACAACAAAAGGGACCCTTACTTGGAAAGAAGATTCTTTTACCTTAAAAGAAGAAATCTCAAGAGACACAGAAGGTTTAATGTTCCCAAGCAAATGCTCAGAGCAAAAGCACATCTTGAAAGTGTCTTAAGCAGGAAATTGAGACATATTTGTGGAGTATCTTTGTCTATTTTCATTTCTTCTGTTGCTAGAATGACTATTTTCCTTTATTTCACTTTAAATGGCTATATTTCTGGAGCCTTGTCACAGCTCAACCAGGAATATGTATTGTTTAAATAGCTGCTGAAACTATTGGCCTTGGTGGAGGAAGAGAAGGAGGGAGGAAGGGAGGAAGGAAGAGAGGGAGAGAGGAAGGGAGGGAGGGGAACCTTTGATGAAAACAGCCCCCATGTCAGTTCTAAGGACTTGTCTGTCTTTATTCAGACTTTCTTATGGGAAGTTCTTTCTTATTTCATAGACCACACTGTCAGGGAGCTCTCTGAGGCCATGATCTGAATCCTTTCAACTGCTGTGGCCAGAAAATAGAAAATAGTGTCCTTATAAAATTAACACACAAACTCAATTCCTGTTTTAAGTAGGGGTTCTAGAAAGCTCCATGGGCCTCGGATAGGAGATGACCAATCCCTGAATCTTTATATGGTGTTTTTGTGCATTGTGAATGCACTTACTAAATATTTGGTTTAATAAATCAATAAATGAATATATAGTGTTATGCCTTTTTGATGAGGTGTTTCACAGTTTTTATCAGAAAGAGTCTCTATGGGGTTTACCCTCGAAATAATTAAGATTTCCTCGTCAGCTGGCTCAGTGGTTGAGCGTTGACCTATGAGCCAGGAGGTCACGGTTCATTTCCTGGTCAAGGGCACAGGCTCGGGTTGCAAGCTCGATCCCCAGTGTGGGACATGCAGGAGGCAACTGATCAATGATTCTCTCTCATCATGATGTTTCTAGCTTTCCCTTCCTCTGTGAAATCAATTAAAAAATATAAAAAGCAATAATTAAGATCCTCAAGAGATTCCACCACTATTTAGAAGTGAAGGTCTAGGTGCCAGAGCAGGGCTACTTCGACTGTACCATGCACATGAATGTCTGAGGCCTCATCCAAACAGACTCTGACGCAGGAGGTCTGGGTGGGGCCTGTGGTCCTGCATTTCTAACAAGCCCCAGGTGTTGAGGCTGCTGGTTTCAAGGGCTATGCTCTGAGCAGCAAGGACATAGAGTCCAAGTTTAAATGATGTCCTTCCAAATCAGAGGCTCTGAGGAGCATCCCCTTACCTTCTTCGGCTGTTGACAGCGATGCAAACTGCGAGAATCAAAGCCAGGGCCAGGAGGGACGCCAAGATGATCAGCCACTCTGATGGGAGTGAAGAAAAAGACACCCGTGAAGTTAGGAAATACACTTTGTGAAAATAAACATGCACTCTATAAAACTGACCTGGCCCAAACAAGAACCACAGTCAGCACAACAGATAAATTTGACCAGTAGGCAGATAACAGGAGAAGAGAGATTTTGCTATAGCTGTTGGTCCAGCCAGCCTCATGTTTTAATCTCTCACCATCAGTTAGGATTTCTAAGTCCCTCCAGGAGAAACATGTTTCCAGAAAAATGTAGAATGACCTGTTGAAACTCGTAGATGCCCTGGGGTTATTAACCAGATGGAAGGAAATGTATTCTCCCCTTAAAAGGAACATTCTTTCCTATATCAGAGCACCCATCTTACATTCGATTAGAAGCAAAAAATGGAGGCCACAGTCTAGTGAGTGCGAGAAAGGGCAGTCCTGTGGATGGTCGAACTTGTGCACATTAGGTTCATTCATTATATAATTAGGGTTCATTCACTATATAATGTATTACAATGTGTGTGGGGAAATATTCAATGACATTGGAAAGCTGTGCCCCACTCCTCTCCCCCCCCACCTTCGCCCCAGTTGAGAATTGTAATTTGCTAAATAAATGGTGTAATTACACTTTTATATATAAATTACATTGAAAATGACTGGAAGGTCATCTATGAAAATGGTAACCAGGGCACTTCTGGATAGAGGGGTTAGATTACTGATTTGTACTTTTGTCCTTCAATTGCATTTTCTGAAATGTCTGCAACAATTAACGCATCACTGGTGGACTAATAACATGTTATACACATGTTTTTACATCAAGCTTTAAGATATTAAAATATGACCGGACAACTTGAATAATTTCAGCTGCCAAGTGGGCTGTGTATCTGTGCAATGAACTACAGCTTGGGAAATCAAGATGGACAGTCAGTCACTGCCCATTCGTCTTTAGGAGTCTTGGTTCTCCTCTGATTTGCTGCTCAGGGAGTGCTGCCTCTGCCTGACCTCTCCCGGGGTAGGTGAGCTTGGGGAGCAGGGTCTCAGGAGAGAACCACTTCCATTCATTCCTAGGTCCCTAACCCTGAGATTCCCCTCATTACCTCTCACTGGGGCTAGGACAAATCCTGCTGCCTGATGATTGTAAATTTCATCCCACCCGCCCTGTCCTCCCTGGCAGCCCACGCCTTCTCCATGTGCTCTGCCTCTAGCTGAGCCCAGGCAAGCTGAGGCAAGGGGTCCGGGCCCACAGCACATTCTTCCCTTTCCCACAGGAGGCTCAGCTTGGAGAGCTCCGAAGAGGAGGGATAATTTGCAACCCTAGGAAAACCCTCTTACAAATGCTTAACTCTGAGCCCAAGTCAAGTAAAGCATTTCCTTCCAATGGCTTAAATCTTGACACTCAGAAGAGCCAGCTGTCTCGGTCTCTTCACTGCACACGTAACACTTTCTGAAACTTTGTCTGTCTGGATCCGTGAAGACCCGTCCCTTGAGAAAAAGCACTTTGGGGACCAAAAGAATGTTTTCACTCCACCCAATGCCCTGTCTGCAATGTGAGAGGAATGTTACACATGTCATCCCCAACCCCAGAAATAAAGGGGAAACTGAACCATGATAGCAGGGCATGGGCAAAAACATGGAGTCCTCTGGACCATCATGCATTTGGGGAGGAAGCTTTAGGACCTAACGTGGCTCTACTTTGGGACCTGGGATAAAAGAACATTTCATCTTTTCCGATCTGTTACTTTCATCCATCTTTAGCTTGCCAAGAGGAACTATCAATTTCAAGGGTTGGACATTTAGGAAAATGTGCTTTCCAACTGCTGGCTTCTTTCTTTCTGGGACATTCAGAAAGACCTGCTTTTAGCATCATTCTCTCCTCTCCCCCCCTCCTTCCTCCCCCCACACACAGTTCAAAACTCACCTGGAATTTGAGGTTTCCTCATAGGACCCGAGGTCGTGTTGGGCCCACCTTCTTGACTATCTCTGTTGTGTCCTAAGGGGAAAAACAACATCTGTCATCCAAAGTTTGGAGGATGTAACGAGGTTTACAACACACGGAGCCAGCCTCTATACGCTGAAGCCACAGGCATTTATAAAGTGCTACTAGAATCTCCCCAGAGCCGAAACCGGTTTGGCTCAATGGATAGAGCGTCAGCCTGCGGACTGAAGGGTCCCGGGTTCGATTCCGGTCAAGGGCATGTACCTTGGTTGCGGGCACATCCCCAGGAGGGGGCGTGCAAGAGGCCGCTGATCTATAACTCTCATTGATGTTTCTAGCTCTCTATCTCTCTCCCTTCCTCTCTGTACAAAATCAATAAAATATATTTTTTTTAAAAAAATCTCCCCAGAAATGTTCCGTTTGATGCAGGCCAATGTATTGTTGAAACATGCTTTGTGTTTGAAGAATGAACATTTTCTTCTGCTACAAAACAAAACAGGAAAACAAACAAAAATCTCAGACTGAAAGGAAGCATTGCAAGACAAAGGATCCACAAGTCGGAACAGGAGGCTTATTACCAAAACCAGAGGCGTCATGTTCTAAAAGAAACTCTGAGACGTTTTGTGAAGAGACTCACCCAAAGGAACAAGCTGTGCTTTTTATTTGTGTGTATTTTTCTTTTTAAAAATATATTTTTATTTATTTCAGAGAGGAAGGAAAAGGGAAAGAGAGAAACATCAATGATAAGAGAGAATCATCGGTCAGCTGCCTCTTGCATGCTCTCTCCTGGGGATGGAGCCCGCAACCTCAGGCATGTGCCCTGACCAGGAATCAAACCATGACCTCCTGGATCCTAGGTTGACTCTCAATCACTGAGCCAAGCTGGCCAGACCCTTTGTATTTTATATGCTTCCTTTACTGATCCCACTAAAATGAAAATATCCCCCTAACATGAACTCCTACAGAGTGGGATTCCACTCTGAATCCTGAAGGCCTCCCAGGGAAGAAACAAAACAGGAAGCTGTGTGTGTAGTCCATGAATGAAGATGGCTGGGCTTATAATGAGACACTCTCCTAAAAGAGTCAACCTTCGGACTATACACAGCAGGCACTGAAGTCTTGATTATGATGGTTATTTTAAATAGGTGGCTCTTGCTTATGCAATCTGACCTTTATGTTAAACTCAAGTTTTACCTTAAGTCTGACCATTTCAACATACTGATGCCACTTTGTCAGTGGCCTCTCACTTTACAAACCTCAGAAAGAGTCCAAGACTCTTTTTCTCTAGCTGCCTACCAGAGTCTGTGGTCACTGGCCAGTGTCCACCTGCACAGGTCAGTGGATACTGGCCATTTAACTAGAGATCATTGGCCTCGAAAACCACTTCAGAGGTGCAGTCACCTCACTGGTCTTTCCCTGACTCACGGTAGCCTCTGCTATTTGTAAGGAAGGCCACAAAGGGACCATAATCTCTTTATGTCTATTTTCCAAAACAGTGCTCCCAGCAAGGAAAGATCTGGGTGTGTGTACAGCCAGATGGAACCGCCTGCTTGAACAATAGACACCTGCACAGGAGTGAAACAAAAGAGGCCGCTCCCGCCCACTTCAGGCAAAAGCCAAGAAGATAGACTAGATAGAGCAGGTCTCCCCTTGTGCCCAGGAGGTCTGCAAATGCAGCTGGGGAAGGACTGGCAAGGAAGGCAAGCTCTGCAAAGGGGAACACTGATACTGTAGTTGAAGAGGAGAGCCAATCTGAGACATGTGCACAGAGATCATTCGATTTGCCTTAACTGTGAGAAAAATAGTCTATGTCAGTGGTCTGCAAGCTGCGGCTTGCAAGCCACATGTGGCTCTTTGACCCCTTGAGTGTGGCTCTTCTACAAAATACCACATGCGGGCGCGCACATACAGTGCAATTGAAACTTTCTGGCCCATGCACAGAAGTCGATTTTCGGCTCTCAAAAGAAATCTCAATCGTTGTCCTGTTGATATTTGGCTTCGTTGACCAATGAGTTTGCCGACCAATGATCTAGGGCAATGCTTCTCAAGCCTGATATAGATGCAATCCACCTGGTGGAGCGGGAGGCTCTTGAGTCAGTAGGTCCAGGGTGGCTGGGATGCTGCATTAACAACCAGCAACTAGGTGGTGTCTCTGCTACGGGTCTAAGGACCGCAACTTGGAATCGTTGGGAGTCTTTGGATTTTAGAGAGCATGTCTTTTAGTAACAACTCCCTGTCTTTTCTAAATTATTTTCAAATTCCTGATGCCTCATGTTCTTCACAAGGACTCCAGGAGGTAACCAAGGCCAGTGTTCCGATCTCTTTTTACCTAATAAGGAAATTGAGGTTGAGAAAGGCTGACTGCCCTATCCCTGGGCCCCAGAGAGCTTTGGACTTTGGTCCTCACGTTAGAAGCATTTCTGATGAGCCCACTACATCCCTGTCCCCTTAGGTAAAAGGTTATTACTAAAACTACTATGCAAATGCCCATCTTCATTGTGCTTTAAGTGTGCGAATCTGTAAGCCTGGAGGCAACTCTACTTTCCATGTAAGCATGATAGCTTATAAGGATGACCTCACTTGCATGGGGCGCCTGGACTGGTGATGCTCGGGGTCACCTCGGTAAGACAGCACCAGCACAGCCTTTCAGCAGCCCTAGCATCAGTGGTCACCAGGAAACCTGCTTGTGTCAGACTTTTGCTGCCTGGAGTAATGTTTCCAGGAGTGTGCTCTGAGTCACGGTAAACAGGAATCCATTGACTAATGCATATCAGGTGGCAATTATGGTCACCACAGGTTGCTTTCTCCTGACTCTGTTTGTGAGAGGTGATAGGAGTGCCCTGGGTTTGAAACGTGGCTCCATCACTCAACTCACTAGTCATGTCAACTCAGCTAAGTTACTTAGCGGCTCTGAGCCTCCGTGTCCTTGGTAATAGTGGGATAATAGTACTTCTTATGTGGGCCACAGGGTATGTAGGATGAGTAAGTGAGTTAATAATAGATGAAACATATAAAATACATTTAATTTCATATATGACTACTGACCTACAGAAATGGCAGTTTGATAGGGTCTATCCTAATACATAATGAATTCTGATGAAATGTTAGCTATTATGCCATGTGTACTATCATTTAGTCTTTTAAACCAGACCAGTGACAATTATTATTGTTATTTTATTGGTTAGGAAATTGAGTCTCAGATCCTTTCAGCAACATCCCCAGTTTGTATGTGGAGGAGCTGGATCAAACAAGTCTTATTCCAAAACCCAGGTTTTTAACTGCTCTGATGTAGTGAAATGTTACCTTGAGACCCTGCTTGGATTCTCCCAGATCCTTTCCAACCCAGACATGCAGAATCAGAAACTTTAAGGATGGGGCCCAGCAGCGTGGTTTAATAAGCCCTTCCCGCTATAGTGAGGCATGCTAAGGACATTTGAGAACCACTTTTCGAGAGACAGTGACTCAAACATCATTCATGAATTATCAGCAGGTTCCATGATGACGAGAGTAAATGACTAAAGTGGCTCAAACTCACCGGTTGAGTCAGGTCCTTTCGTGGCAGGGTGCCTTCGGCTGGGGTCTTGTTCATCTGTAAGGAACAATCAGAGAAGGTTCAGTACCGTGTGTTCCAATTACACTGCCATCAGCATTTCCTCATGCTCTTTGCTTTCGTCACAAAGCTCAGTCTGTTAAAGGTAAGCAAAATGATGGCAAAGGACCTGTGAATGGGTCCACAATATGAATTTCTATTCATTTCTTAGTCCACTGATGAGTGGGCTAGAGATTTCATCAAAATTAGGAAACCTGGTTCAGCACAGACCATCAGGGTGACCAGAGGAAGTGTGGCTTTGGTAGAAACCCAATAACTGTAACACAAGAACAAAATGATTGTCATGTGTTCACAGGTCTGAGGTTGGGATTTGATACTGTTTCTTTGAAATAGGGACTCTATGATTTGAATGATGACAAAGTTGATCATTGAGAATGCATGTATTCTGTGGCTTAGGGCATAGGACATTTGAAGAGTATTCTCCAAGGCAGGAAATAGAAAAAGGTTTTGGTATGCATATAAGATCTTGGGGTTAAATTCAAAGAGAGAAGTCAACTGTTTATTTAAAGAAAATGTCTGAAAATAAGTGAAAAGAAAAGAGGGAGATGATAGCTAATGTGTGAGTAATGTACTCCTTTATTAAAACATGTTTCAAATATGAAATCTGCATTTTCAACACCAAGAGTTAATATAATTCATCTTCTCCAATACCCATCACCAAAAGGCTCTTGAGTGAGACAAGTTCATGAATTGCTAAACTCTGGATCCGAAGGTCAAATATTTAATTTAGCATATGGAGCTCTTACCCTTCCTCCTCCTCCTCCCACACATTTCCCAAAACTATACTGGAATCTTAAAACAAAAAAGACAATGATTTCATAAAATGACTATAGTTACCCATTGTGAAGGTACCTATAAGGAAAATACCATAGTCTGATCACCACCATTTCCCAAAAGGTGGAAGTAGGTGCCCTATAATGGCTCATGTATTTGTATAGAGGAGACACGACACATTGCTTTGTTCCTTGGCTGATGGTTAGAATAATGAAAAACAGAATTTGCTGAAAAGCCAGGACCAATACCCTCAAAATCACTACCACCATCACCATCATCATCACCACCACCACCACCAACCAACAACAACACCATCACCATCACAATTTCAGGTGTTTTAATTCTTAAGGTTAAGTATAAAGTCTGAGAAAAATTGGAAGAAATGAGAACTTTTTGAATTTTGAAAGAAAACAAAAAATGAGAGTTGGATCCCTTATTAATCATTTAATCCATGGAGAACCATGAAAAATCTATTGGTACCACCATGGAATGTAAAAGAAATGAGAGTACATCGATACCAATTTTGTAGAAATCCTTTTACTTACCAACAATAGTCTATGTAATCTTTCTAGGCTACTTAAAATTTAAACTCATATGTCACATGACAGGTCTCATTTTGCTAAGAAAAATTAGGCAATGCTCTAAGGTTCACTTCTACAGAAAAAAGCTGCAAATGATACTTGGAAATTTTAATGACTGAGGGTAGAACCATGCTGAACAAAGAACCAATGAGTGTGAGGGGCTCTGTCTTGCCAATATTGCCAAGGTTAGTATTTTTCCATGAAGCTTGTGTTTAAGTAATCCTTATTTTATTTACTAACTAGAGGCCTGATGCACAAAACTTGTGCAAGAGTAGGCCTTCCTTCCCCAGGCTGTGGGCACTGGCTTCCCTGGCAGCCCCAGATTCAATGTCCAGAACGATGTCTGGTCTAATTAGCATATTATGCTTTTATTATTATAGATGCCACTTTCACATAACTTTCACTATAATATATTGTTGTAATTCCATTTCATTATTAATTATTGTTGATTTCGTACTGTGCCTAATTTTTATAAATTAAACTTTATCAGTAGTCCCTCCTTATCTCTGGGATGGGCAGCCAAGGAAAGAGGCTACACAAGTGACATTCTGGGTTTCTGTCACCAGATCAGTCATCTGTTAAATATATTGAGTTCTCATAAGATTTATTCTTCTTTGGGGAAGGGAGAGAAAGAACTTATGCTACAAAAAAATTACAGCCATCCCTCCTTTTCTACTGGGAATATGTTCTAAGACCTCCAATGGGTGCCTGAAAAATACAGATAGTACAGAACCCTATACAAGCCTTTTTTCCCATACATACAAACCCATGATAAAATTTAATTTATAAATTAGGCACAGTAAGAATTTTACAACAATAATAAAATAGAACAATTACAACAATCTACACTAATAAAATAGCAAGATGCAAATTGACTTGCCTTTGCAACTCCCACCAGCCAATTGGGAGTGAATATGCAAATTAACCCAAATATGGCAGGTTATTTTGCATACATGAGCCCTGGGGCTGATGCAGGCATTCTGCACCACCCCAGACGCTCTGAGCCTCTAGGCAGCAGGCGGAAGGAAGGCTCATTCTTGCACAAATCTTCATGCATTGGGCCTCTAGTATATTATAATAAAAGTTATGTGAATGTGATGTTAGGGAGTAAAATAAGGGTGATTTGAACACAAGCACTGCAATGACATGACAGTCTACCTGATTATGGAGATGGCTATTAAGTGGCTAAGGGGAGGGTAGCATATATAGTGTGGATACATGGAACAAAGCGATGATTCACAGGTGGAGACAGAGCAGGACAGCATGAGATTTCATAAAACTACTATGAACAGCACACAGTGTAAAGCATATGAATTATTTCTGGAATTGTCCACTTGATATTTTCAGACCACAATTGACAATAGGTAACTGAAGCCATGGAGAACAAAACCCTAGATTAAGGGAGGACAACTGCATGTTTAAAATCACTAATATTTAATAGGCATTAGTGGTATTAGTACTTAACCAGAAGGAGGGGATTTTAGTTTCATAGCCAGAGTAGTATTTTCTAGTTCCTTTTTCTACAATGTTAGTTTTTTAATACAAATGGAGAAACAAACAAACAAACAAACAAAAAAACAGAAGGACTGTTTGAGAAAACAAGTCTCATTCTGAGTCCATGTCCAACTTAATTGAATGTCATCTTCAGCCATCTCTTTGCCACTAGAACAAGAGATAGTGCCTATTCATTAATAGTTGATTTTATCATAAAGTTTTAAGTATGCATCATAATTAGAGGTTTATCCGCAAGCCCTTCACCAAAAGTAAAATTCACCAATCCATCTCATGAAAGTATGAGATAATACTTACAGAGCCAAGGTACTAGTATATGGAAATTATTCACATGTTGGGTAAAACCTTACTAAGTAGGCAGCATGTTGTTAGTTGAATAAAATAAAATAGCTAATATTTAACTTCTTTGACCTATAAAACTATCAATTTCATATGGATCAACTTAATATGTCACAAGATCAGAAACAAGGCAAAGAAAGAAATTCTACCAAAATAAATAGAAATGACATCAGCAAATGAAAGCATTCTTAATCTCAACTAAGCCTAAGTTTACTTGCACTAGAATGAGGACATGATAAAAACCCTTCGCAAGTCACAAATCAGCCTAATCACAGCCTTCACAGAAAATGCCCCGTATAATATGAAAGTATGTGTTGTTTTTCTACATTACCTGGCAAGTGACCATCAACATTAACATTAGAATCTCCAACAGTAACTTCAGTAACTCCAGGGGACTCAGTGTTAGCAGGGGTCACTGGGATGAGGGTTGTGTGCTCCTTAGTGTCTGGGGAATGAGGAGTATAACCTTCCACTGAAGTAGCTGAGTCTTCAGGAAGATTTCCACCTCCGCCATCATGCCTATCTGTGTAGAGGTGGAGTCAATGGTAAACCGACATCTGTGAGGCCACCACCCATCGTGTGCTTGTCTTTAGAACATGCAATTACTGTAAAAGCTTCCCACTTTTTATTTGTGAACACAGAGCAAAAGATAGTCTGAGTTACACTATTGCACAGAACCTATATTTTGCAATTGACAATACCTGGACATCACTCACGGAAGAGATTTTGGTGATTCTAATGCCCAGAAAAGACATTCGTTGTAACATCTACCTGGGTTATTAAAATAAGGATTATGCCACTACAACTGTGACCTTGAAGCCAACTTGGATTCTAGATAATCTTGAGCTCAATTGGACCCACCTATAAGGGAGTGGAGGAAACTTATCTTTGAATTAAATGGTAAATGTGCTGTGATTGGAATAGCCAATACAAGGATTCCAAAACCTGAGGATTTATTTTTTTCCTTTTCCAGAAGTCACTGCTTCCTAATCACCAATTCCATGGATTAATGGTCCAGAGTATAAATGGCAAAATATTATAATTAATGCAAGGAAAACAGGAAGTATAATTCAGATCTTTATACCAATTATAAATCACAAATAAGCAATCTAAATCTAGAATTCAAAAAACCCGACTTTTAAGATTAAGATATATAGTTGCATTTCATGTACAATGGCTTCTAAAAAGTCTACAAAGCAGAAAAATCAGAGGCCCATCACCAGCACACCTTCTAATCAGAAGTAACAGCACAACAACAGCCAAGGAATGCACCTCCACCAAAGACACCCATAACTGAAGCCACCTGGGCTTTACCATCCTTACTGCTAGATGTTGGAGTGGACATCATTGACTGGTCTTTATCTTCTTCCAAGCCTCCATGTGATGTAGAAAAGCTCTGAGTATGACTCTGCTCTGTTTCAATGAGGGATGAATCCAGCATTAGTTTGAAGCCATAAAACAAATCCTGTTATCTTGCTGACAGAGAGGATTTAGCTAGAGTGTCAGGTAAGAGCATAAGAATACCAAGGTTTGTGCATACCATTCCCATCTGATTGATTAAAATGTACAACACAATTCTATTTTACCACTTGGCTCTCAAGAGCCTTTGTTTGTTTTAGTATAATCAACAAAGATAAGGTGCCAAACATAAAGCCTGAGCCAAAACTTTATCTATCCCAGATCATCCCGACCCAATGGTAACATTGCTTCCATCGCTGAGAAAAACCAGAGTACATAGACACAGAGGAAGAGCAATGTTTGAATCCCAGTGTTCTCATCAGCAACCAAGAGCACCCAGCTGTGTGTCAAGAAGTGTGCCTGCAGGGAAACAAGTGGTATGACCATAACCACAAAAGAGGAAGAAGTTCATCTAGGATGACTTGCTCAGGTAACTCAGATCAAATGTATAAAAGGAAATGTTTTAGTCCCTCCTAAGGAACATTAAATTAAAGTTGCCTTTTTACTCCACTGTTAGGTTTTTGATCTCATCTGTGGATGGAGATTCTCATCATTGTACAGAAACACCAGGAAACGCTTGCCTGGGCAAACACAGGGCCCTCACTGTAGTCCATGCAATTTGAGGTTGAACCACTGCCCATATTTGAAATCACTCTGACTGTTTTGAGTTAATTTCTTTTGTATTCTAAGAAAAGGACTGACCTCTGAGTTACAAGTGCAAGCACCCCATAAAGCACTCCCATAAGCCATGTCCACCACCAAAGTAAACATTACAACCAGAAGAGAAACATTCACCAAATCCCAAACCAAACATCAAAACAAAGTTAACAGGGACATAAAGTGGAAATATTATACAAGACCCTCGGTTGGCAGGGACCATTCTTTGATGTATCTGCATCCTGTTTAATGCTTAATACTGTGCTGGTTACATTATTTTATTTTTATCATTGAAAGTATTACAAATGCCCCCCTTTTCCTCCAGTGACCACACTATGGGTTACGCATATTGTTACATTTTTGACAGTCAACCCATGCTTGCTGACTTTTTCCTTTGTCTGAAGGGCACATGTAAATAACTGTGTCCATTATGCATAGCAAGCAGTGAAATGAGGCCTTCTTAATTCTGGAACTCTTTCATTGTCTGTCAAGAAATTACAAATGACTTTAGGCTGATATCTAGGATAGCCCTGTACATATAATGAAAATTAAGTTTAGCATTGCTTCTACCAGATGTTTAGTGATAGGAAGAAGCATTAGCAAATGTTCTAATTTGTACCCAGGCCTTGCCACCTTTGTCAGTTGTCAGTAACATGCCTTGCCCCTCTTCTATAGGCTGATGTGGTTTCCCTATTTTCTATGATTATATGTCCCAAAATGGTCTTTTCACCACCATTAAAACAACCTATCCCTCTTCTTCTTCGATTGAAGAAAAGATGGGAATCAAAAGAGGGTGGTCAGTGCCCAGCCAGTGTGGCTCATTGGGTGAATGTCAATCTATGAACCAGGAGGTCACCCTTCAATTCCTGGTCAGGGCATATGCCCGGGTTGCAGGCTTGATTCCCAGTAGGGTGCTTCTATCTCGCTCTCCCTTTCCCTTCCTCTCTGAAATCAATTTTTTAAATATATGTATTTTAAAAAGGGGCTGGTCAGTTAAAACATAGAAAAAACCACTGTCCTAGCCATGGGCTTAAATGACACTGCCATAATTACTACTTATGGAAAAAACAAGTTGAATGGAATCACACTTTTTTTTTTTTTAAACATAAAGTCATTGAATCTGAAAGTACCAAGAATAAAGGGAAGAATCACATTTAAAGAACTCCACCAAGAAAATATAGAAGAAATAAATTTCTGAGCTCAGCCACAAAGCACTAAATACACCATTCCACCACCAAGCTCTGGATCTGGGCCAGTGTGAGCAAGAACTGAAGCAGGAACACAAGTCAATAAAGGGCTGAGTGTCATTATCCTTACGAGTTGTCATTGGACGAGGTCCTGTCCTGTCCCAGTCTTCCACCAAACCTGTGTTTGAATCTGCAGAAGGCTGAAGTGTTGTACTATGGCTGGAGTCCATATCTGAAGGAATTAAATCAGTGTTATAGTTGGATTTCCTAAACTACTACCTGAGGGTGGTTTATGATCTAGACCCAAATTATTCTTATATTCAAACCTGGATAAAAGGAAAGAAAGCACATACTGATTCATGTCTCTAGAATTGGAGTAGATTATGGCTTCTTCAAGAGATCCCAACCTTCATTGAAAGGTTGAGTTCTATGAAATATTTTGCTTATTTTTGCTGAGTCTGAAAGGACTCCAACTGAGCACATGATGGGCCTCTCAAACCTTGCAGAGAGACACACATAAGCCAGTATGACTTGTACCACTCCATACACATTGCCTTTCTTATAGACACATGGGATCCAACACATGGAGAAAAGACAATGTTCAGGTACCCTTCTGTCACATACATCCTTACTTGGCAAAATAACTTTTTTTACAGCCCTCTTCCCTGCATTGGTCTCTTCCACTTTACAAAGGGAACATGCAAATAAAACATAAATTCATCACCCACTGTGACCCAAGTAGAAGCCACAGGAAGTATTCAGAAGCAAGGAATAAGAAGCCATGGAAATCAGTGTATCAGTCATCCTGTCAACACAGATATGTGGTATCTTTGAAAATTAATATGTACAATGTTGAGCGGTACTGAAATGTCCCTGAAATAGTCACAAATGCTTTTTTAATGGTGATCATAAATCAATTCTGTTGAAATAACAAGTCCTGAGTGCAGTAAAGACCAAATAACCTATAAACACTATCACAATTGTTGGCTTTCCGATTCAAAGTCAACCCACACTGCTGCCTCTAGGGAGATTTAATCAGTTCCAGATGACTCCAGAGGGAAAAAATGGAATATTGGGTACCCATGTCTACACTGCAGCCCTTACATACAAAAAGAAAAGAAAAACTAAGATCTTTGGAGGAAAAAACATGGCTGATTCTATCATAACAGATTTAAAAAAAGAGGAAAGGCTAGCTAACCCAAATCAAAACCCCACATGACTATTTTCCCAGAAAAAGTCCTGTTTGTGGATGATCTCTAGACACTCTTGTTTACCTTGCCTGTTATCAGCAGAATCTTTCATGAGGTATCACACGGTACTATAGTTTGAACCAATGCACTTGTCCTTGTCATGCTTATCAATTTAATGGAATCTCTTTCCGTTCATCTGTGTGGAGTCTTAACACCGATTTTGAAGTTATTTCACTGTGGCTTGGTTTTCCACTAATATATCATCAGAGCCTCCAGCAGCCACATGCATAAACATGTGTGTGATCTGCATGTGGCACTTCAGCCACTCATATGATGGCTACAGCCTAGCCATTCAAACTCATCTTCCTTTATGACAAATGGATCTGTTCACTTCAACAAATTCATTTCTTGGCTTTCCTTCCTTTATGCCTCTTCTTACACGAGTTTTCCCACAAAAACTTTCCCTGACTTTCTTTCTCTGACTATCCAGGATTTCCCCCCATTTTTCAAAAACCAGGTCCAATCCACCTTTCTCTGATGCTCCCTGGAGAGTCCTCTGAATTTCTCTGGTGTTGGCAACATTCATTTGACATCTACTACTTGCTCTCTCGTATTGTTAGATATATTGTGGTGCCGAATGTTTTCTTTTCCTACTTAAGTATTAACTTCCTTAAAAGCATGAACCATGAATTGTACATTGTTGTGGCTCCACATGCCTTGTACAATATTAATCGATATTTAATGTCAATGTTGTTTTTAATCACTAGTAATTTGGCAATAACTGTTCATTAGTATTTGAGAATGACACAATTAAGGGGGTTCTAAAGATACAAAACCATAAAAACTGTTAAATTCATTTTGGAGATAACTTTGTTCAATTCACTACCAAGAGACACGGTCATTGTGCTCTTGGAACTCATTTTAATAAAGTTCATGTTGTACATTCCCTTTGTAGCTTAGATCCAGATTATGCAATGCTATAAATAATAATTCTCAATCCCATATTGGATCTTTGGTTTATCTCCATTTTTGGAATGTTACATTTCTGTGACCAAGGCATCTTGTTAAGTAACAAAACTCGAGTAACTCTTCATGGGTATAATAAGGATCATGGATTCTTTAAATTAGGAAAGCCTGAGAAAAGGTCATCATCTGCTACCAATTCTTGCAGATTCTTTAGGGAAAGTTGTCATCTGTTGTGATAAAGTAAGACTTTTTTTAAAATATAAAAACTGGTTATATCCTCCATTCTTACAGAACTACAACTAGTATCTTTTTATTCTCTCTCTCACTCTCATTTAATTGTTTATTAATTGCTGAGAGATAATTTGAATGATGTTTAAGAAAACAGATTCCATTCTGTGTCCATTTATGAAATTCATAAACATTTATCGAGGATAAAGAGTGGTCTAAATCTTAAGTCACATGTACCATATTTATCTCTAAATGTAGTAAGAGTAAATGATAAAGTTTTCTGAGCTTTTTCATTATTTTTTTAGAAGGAGCACTCACCAATTTTTTTATTTTTATTTTTTTTGGTAGAGAAAGCCAGAGACAAGTTATATCTTTGAGTCTACAGTGGAAATCTATCATTTTATTCTTTTAAAAGCCCTGCTCTTAGGAGTAAATGAAAAAGGACTCTTGAGACTGCTCCCTCTTCAAAGAAAATGACTTTCACTCCTATCATTTTAGGACCAATTCTCTTTTAACTCTCCTGCCAAATTCTTCACTCTCAGCTCAGCACTTCAGATTCAGATAAATGGGTATATCACTTCTACAAAGGAAGCAAATTTTTGAAGAAACTTCCATTTCCGTCTTAGGAAAGTAGAGTGGTCTAAAGCCAAGGGCTTATTTCTAGGAAAAGAGCCATTTGTAGACTTTGCCAAAATATAATATAAAAAGGTTCAGAGGCTATTACCCATTCTTCTTTCTGTTTGATGACCTCGTCCCATTGGATGTGAGATTGGGTCCCAAAAATAAGTCCAGGAACTGTCCTCTTGACTCGGTGTTGTCATTCTTTGATTTGGATGGGTGTCATGAGCTGAGGCTGGTGTGACTATGCAGTTCAAGCAATTGTCAAAGTGTTAGTTGACATCTGACCAGGAATAACTGATTTTTTAAAAATACACTTTTTTAAAAAATCTGAACAAGACAATGAAAACATTTTCCTGGTATCGAGGGCCAGGAAGTTATATAAACACAGAATGTTTTAGCAGATATTAGTTCATTCATGCTCATTTTCTTAGCAAGCAGCATGCGAACTGAAGAACACAAAAGCACCGACAACTTCTCCAGTGGACAGGAGATGAGTTACAGACATCAAGTGAAGATGAAAAAGGAGTTCTTGACCCATGCCATGTTGCCACCATCCCCCAAAGGAGGAAGTATAAGAGTCCAAGCCCATGATGTCATTCCGAGACAACCACATCCTAGTGAAATGCACATTACGATGGTAGTGAGTTAAAGAAGGAATCAGGTAACAGCTTCTTATGACATAAACATGAGAGTAAGTGCCATTATCTCAAAAGCATGAATGAAATCCATTAGAAGCATTACTTTTTTTTTTTTTTAATTTAGAAGCATTACCTTTTAACAATGAGATTTATGGCACAAATGACATGTAAGAATGTAGCACATCCTTTTGCTTCATTCCATGACAATGAAGAAGGATAGGTAGAAAAGATTACAACAGTAGCCCCTTAGCAACAACCAACCACATCACATAGCTAGTCACTGAATCTGTTGCTCTGCCAGGAATGCGTTCAGGAGTTGCCACACACATAAAGTACATTATGCATTATATTCTATGTCGCCAAAGGAAGCATGGGGATATCTCTCACTGACACTAAGTGAGAATATCATCCTTAAAGGGAATTCATGTTCTTTTACAAGACAGGGTGTATTGCAATGTTTCTGTGATGCAGACAAAAAATCACACATAGGAGCTCACAGAGTCAAGTTATCTGGCCTCACTTAGACATGGTGACAAGACTTGAGCCCAATTTTCACAATCCCACAATTCAAGAATAGAGAAGGTATTTATTTTATAAGTCTGGGGGGTGGGGGGGAGGAACTTGTATAATCAAGAAGAAATCTCAAACAGACATGGCAAAATGGCCAGATGATATCAGACAGGTATTTTTCTCAAGATGTCTGGTTTCATTTCTTCAAACTTTGGGGTTCTGACCAGATGCTTTCTAACAAGCCCAGTATTTTATAGAACCATGCTATAAAGTGTGGATGCACATCATAGAGTAGATTCATTTATAAAACCAGAGAAAGTATTTTATCTACAAGATCAGAGTTTCTGCTACAACCTCACCAGGGAATGCCCCAAACTAGACCTGAAAATGTCATACAAAAGAGCATATTGTCTGTGTCTAAAATAAAAATAAAACTTATTGCCCAGCTGCATGGCTCAGGGGTTGAGAATCAACCTATGAACCAGGAGGTCATGGTTCTATTCCTGGTCAGGGCACATGCCCAGGTTGTAGGCTCAATCTCCAGTTAGGAGGCAGCCAATCAATGATTCTCTCTCACCATTGATGATATTCTCTCTCTCTCTCTCTCTCTCTCTCTCTCTCTCTCTCTCTCTCTCTCTCTCTCTCTCTCTCCTTTTCTCTCTGAAATCAATAGAAATATATTTTATAAATAAATAAATAAATCTTATTGTCTTCATCCTACTCTAGCACTGGGATTCACTTGTTATCAATGGGAGGGAAAAAGACCTCAAAATCTTAAGTTTTGCTTCTCACTGACTGAATCATTGCCTCCTGACAAGTAATGAAGTGAGAAAAACCACTGAATGGATTATAAACAAGAAAATTTTCACCCAAACATAACCTATTGATTCAGTTTTCAAATGCATGAACACATGCACATACACTCTGCTTTATATGTCTTCTATCATTATCTTTATAAGCAAAATGACCTTTTAAATACCCACTAACCCCACTGTTGTTTTCAACATATGGGTTAACTGAGTAGAATTTCCACTGTAAAATATAAAGGTTGATTCTCTTCTAAGAAGGTGTAATATTCTCATTCAACAATTTTATTTAACTATATACAAATACTTAGAACAAGTATAAATTAAGTATTTGGATTTTTGCATAATTTTTCCAATTAAATTATTACATCCTTACTTCATATTTGAGCTTTGAACTATAATCAAAAAGAGGGTCATTTCTGTATAACACTCATGGGTTTCATCAGTTTTCCCCGGGGCCTTTCCTCAGACCTGTGATATAGCCAATATGTCTATTGTGCTGTAACATTCCATTGATAAGGTCCAGAGGTCACCACCAGAATTTCTTTATGTTCTGCAAGTGCTGAGAAAAGAATTGCTGAAGCTAGTGCTTCTTTCCCTCTGGGAGGTTCTGTTGTCTGGATTTTCAACTACCCTTCAGTAATGATGTCCCCCACCCCTCCCCACCATCACCTTCTGACAATAGGCTCATGAATTCCAAGCTTTTTAAGTAGCTTTCTGCTTTTTAAGTACAAATTGTCTTAAATAATCTCTGAAATATAGTATTGGGTCCCAAAGAGGACTGGTACAGAATCATCATTCTGTTTTTTGTTTATTTTTGTATGTGTATTTTTTTTTAATTTGTAATTCTTTATTTTTTGACAGAATCCCGTTCTGAAGAGACAACTTATTTCTTCTTCTATCAGAAGATGTTTCTCTCTCTCACTCTAACTTCCTCTATCAGAAAACTCTGTTCTTAACTCAGCCCATAATCTTCAGGCATGTAGCCAATCTATCAGGTAAGTAGTGAAGTCTAGGCATGTTGGACATATTCAGTGCAATATCCAGGACGTATTAATCTATGTCTTAGCTGATGTCTGAAATGTTTCTTTTGTTGTCTGAGGAACATTCTTCAATACCAAGGAATTCCCAAACCCTTTTGGTTTCTCCCTTCGGATTCTAAGCGGATGTTTCTTATATTTTTGATTTAGGAACATCCAAAAATGATGATTGAGGCATAGTTTTAAAAATGCTATAGGCTGTTATCCTAAATGAAAGCTTCTTCTATTCCAAATATGATAGGCATCTCTCCAAGAAACAGATGAAAAGTATACTTCCTACTTTTTTGTCCTTTCTTCATTGTCTACTAGTAGTGAGACTTGTGAGTGTTCTAGAAAACCTGAGATATTTGCATATAAGTACAATTAATAGCAAAAAGTATGCCCCCACGTTACCCTGGCTTAAAAACAGAGAAAGAACAGCTAGTTTTCAAATATAGACCATCTGAGCTATTAACTCTCCTCCAAAGAGTAAAAGGGATGCCTTTCTATAACGCAGTAAGGAACAGAATGTGAAGAACTGCATTCATAAAAGATCTTCATAGAAAATAGAATTCCAAAGATCATGGCACCAGTCAAGCTTTCTTTCAAGGTGCCACTAGTAAGCACCAACAGAATACACTCTTCATTATACATTTTCATAAACACATACAAGTCACCCAACTGGAACCACTAGGAATCTTTGACTCAAAAACCTTATCTCAAGATATTTTTTAAGTTTCACTTTTTAAGTATGTTGTCTTTTGGGGCAACCTGGCAAGTTAGCATTTTTCTTCCAATTTCTAAGACTTGTGTGCAGATTTGACAGCCCTTCATTCTCTGGGGATTTAAAAAATTTTACTCTGTGATAATAGAAGATGTGGCCGTGTCTAAAAATAGTCTTCCCTATTCTTTGGAATCACTTTACTGGCTCATCTAACCCAGAACTGCTAACCGCCATCCTTCTTACTTGTGCTTGTAGAAAGTTGGGTCTCCTCTTCCTCATGATGTTCATGGTGAATGAGAGGAGACTGGTCTTCCGGGGCCCAGTTTTCTCCATAATCACTGGTGCCACTTCTGACCACATCTGTTGTGATGACGTTTATATACACTGTAACTTTTTTTATCAACTAACCTTTGATGGTTTGTTCTTCCATTACAGTACATGATATTGAACAGCCTGAGCAACTACTATCCACACTTCTGAGTGACTTCACTAATCTCTTGCAAGGAAAAAAAAAACATTGGGCACGGAATTTCTTAATGACGACTTGTTATTCCACCATAACCACTTTCTCAAGGGCAGCACCATCAACCATTTTAATGTATTCATTCTTATAATGGAGCAACATAAAATATCTTGTGCCCAGATGGTATGAGTGATAAATGACCCTTAAGTTGAACTGAGGATCGTCATGAAAATTCTCTAAAAATTTGTGATGAGATATTAACTACATTTCCCACTGTGTCCTGTCAATTGACCTTTGCAGCATCATAGACTTTGAGGGGGAAAATATCTTTAATTAAGAATGCATATCCCATTACCAGTCATCCTTGTGGTAGTCTGAAGTGATACTTCTGGATTTAAAAAGTCTGGGCTCCACTGGCTCCAATTCCGGTTCTGTGTTGAGTGGTCAAAAACCCGTGGTGTGGTTGAAACTGTGGTAACGATGATGAAGTTATTAGGAAAATGGTTATTTCTTGAGCCTTCACCACCTGTTTTGCACTTTTCCCCCTTCTTTGGTCTGTCCAGTGAATCATCTATACCAGTTTGTATAGATGGTTGAATGGAAATGGAAGGAAAGCATAGAGTGCCTTTGGCTTGGTCCAGACATATTGTTAAGCATCTCAGTGTCCTTTGCATTCTGCCTTTGGGGCGAGAACATGAGATCTTCTGGAGAAAGCAGCCAAAGAAGCTGCAGCAGGAAGAAGAAAGCTTTGGAAACACCAGCCCTCCACCGAGGATAACCAAAGACGGCAGAGCGTTGCCCATCCATGCAGTCGGTAATGTCCTTTGCATTTGAAAGCCCAAGGAACTTGCATCACTGGCAAGTGCACTACATGTAGATCCTCAGGATGAAAGGTAGGTACCTGGAAGTTATTCCATGATGATCACTTTATCTCATTTGTAGTTTTGGTGGGAAAAGAAATACTCTGGGCATCCAGAACTTTCCTATAGATGATTCTAAGAAAGATTATCTACCTATAACAGCCATATGATTTAGCTATACACTTCTGAATATTTATCAAATACCTATGATATACTCATCAAATACAAAGCACTTAACCAGCAAGCCATTCACAGCCATTGGGGGGGAGGGGGCGGGATGGGGGAGCAGAGAACAAGATGAATAGATCCAGAAGGAAAACACCATAGGGAACCAACCACCAGCATCACAGGAGCTCACCAGGGGGAAGGGGGAAAAAAGAATCATATATCCACCAGTGCTCTGATACTGTCACCCAGAATGATAGGGCCAGAATAGGAGACACACCCAACAGAAGGATTATGATAAAATCAGAACCAATGTCTTATGTGAAAAGGTATATTGGCAAATCCTAATTCTTACAAACTTTATATCGATACCCAAATAATACAAAACTCTTTTCAGAACTATACTACTATCATCTCTATTTCACAAGTTAAAAAAAATCAGGTTTGGAATCACTGACCATATTCTCAATAAGTATGAAAAAAAGTGGCAGTTTTCACATCCTTACAGAAGAGAGAGGCATCCTGTTGAATTATGTGCACAAGTGCCAAGCAGAAAAGTTAAATGAAACCAGAAAATATACCACAAAGATGAAAAATATCAAGGGAAGTTTTCCTCTGTACTGTGATCACAAAATTTATTTTTAGGTTGATCTGTTTGGATTGAAAACCCAAAAGTATTTAGTTTCTCATTTCTAGACCATCTTTTTGTTGGTGGCCCACCTGGAAGATGGGGCCACATCCTAACTCAGGAGACTGGGTATTAATAAAGTTCCAGTGATTTTGGTTATTTAGCTTTCTTCCTGAAGTTACTAGAAAGAGTTTCCTAGACTAACCTCTGCAGAGGTGTCCAGGCTAAGGAGTATACCATAATGCATCTAGTTTATCTCAATTTTTTGTTCTATCAATGCAATATTTTTAGATGCTTTCAAGGCCTAAACTATTTTTTTTGGCTCTCTCCCTTCCTGAGTGCTGTCCTTCTGGGGATGATTCTCTCAGATTAGAATGGACAGAACCCAAAACAGTTCATGTGGCACCCTAAATGGAACCTTCCCTAAGGAAAAGCAGAGCTGTTATGAAATCAGGTCTAGGATTCTCATGTCTGTTCAGCAATATCCTGGATCATTACAGGTATGAATAGGAAACTCATTATCTGCAGAATATTAGACCAATCATTGTATTTTTAAAGGACATTTTTTTCAGCTCAATTTCCACTTATTTTCTCAAAAAGTTTTATAATTGTCACAAATTTTAATACTATTATGCAGTGGTTTCACTATTTATTCTTAATAATTGGCACTGTTTTGTTCAAGCTCAGCTGACATTTGTCCTTTGCTTCAATGTCTTTCTGTTACATTGGTGCCCAGTTTGTTTGTTAAAACTTTGGATTTATTTCCTTGATCTCAATCAGGTTTTGATTATCTAAGACCATTCTTGAGTTCTAATTACCATTGTTTAAGCCTTTTTAGGTCTTTCTAAGTCTTTAATTTAGGATCATCTACAACTTTGAATTAATATCCTTCCAATCATTGCTTCAATAGACCATGAGTTCCTTGAAGGCAAGAGCTCTGGCTTTTTTTCATATTTGTGTTACCAGCACCTAAGCACAGTGACTACTCAATGAGTATTTATTGTAATATTTTACTGTGCCATTTTCTGACAAAGTTCAATGGTTAAAAAAAAAAAAATCTGTAGCAACAGACCACATATAATAAATAAAACAGGAAGAACATGAGGCACTAGAAATTTCATAAAAGATGCTTTTCCCATTTCTTCTCCAAATACAGTTTGGCTTCTATTAAAAATATATATATTTCTTCCTTTAACATCTCATCAAGGTATGACTAAGGTGTGGTCATAGGCTTATGCTCATTGTTTATATCAACTGTTTCCCAAAAGAGATACTCTTGAGCATCACTCAGATTAATTGGTAAGCCTTGCATAAATGGTTCTACTATAATTGATTATTCTTACTAGTGCTGGAGATAAAATCTTCATCATCATCAATGCCTGTTCCAGAATGAATGGGGTGTTTGTCTCTTTCATCTTCATTTTCTTCCGTTGGCGCCCAGCCTGCTGAGATGATATTTGAATCCGTACCTGTTGTGGTGACTTGCATTAGTAGCTGAGCTGGATGCCAAGTAACCCATTCAATAAAGGAAGAAAATTAGGCACAGAGTGTAAGATGGAATTGCCAAGATTATAAGAAGAAAGTGAAACATTTGGCGCGTATACCTCTAAATTAACATATCTTGGTCTCTGAAGCTAAACTATGGATCTAAAAACAATTTCCTATTATCTTTACAACTGAACATTCTCTTTTAAGAAGTTAAAGAATAAATATAGACACAACCCAACCAAAGAAGTAAAAGAAATAAAAGGCAAATAAACACTGCCTCATGCTTTTAGATACACTTAATAACTTATTAAGTACGTGTCATTAATATCCTTCCAATCACATTCTCAAGTCCATTGCTTCAATAGACCTCGAGTTCCTTGAAGGCAAGAGTTTTGGCTTTTTTTCCCCATATGCCCAGAATAGGATGGTAATGTTTCATGTATGTGTGCCTATTTGCTTTGTCAAGCTACTTTAAAAAAAAAAACCCTTAAACTCTAAATACATCAGTCATTTCTAAAATTTCATAGTTATATTCACAATTTGCTAATTCATTTTTTATCTTCTCTAGCATCATATCAGTGTACTGTAAAGACAAATGAAAGCTACACTGCAGTTCCCAGAAATACTTTAGCATGCAAGGGACAAAAGTCAGTTAATTAACAGAGGAAGTCATAGCTAGCATTTGTTAGTCAACCCTTCTGATTGCCGAAAGTGGCAGACAGTAGCCAGGATTTGGAGAAATCTCCCTCTTCTCCTTGTGGAAGCAATCACAAGAAAGACGGAAACCCTCCACCTCTTCTCCATGGTTACTGCAGAGGATGTCTCTTTACACAAAGGGTTTCCTACATTTTGAATCAGATTCACGCTATCTTTTGGAATGAACATTTGTCTTTTCATCTGTCTCTACCCCAAGAATAGTTCCATTGATCAAAATTTGCTGTATTTTGTTAGCTTTAGCTAACAAATAACTTTTCAGGCTATTGTATTTTTCTCCTGAAAAGTAAAAAAATGTCAAATGACTTGAATCATTGTAGAATACCTTCATAGTCAAAATTTTGTCTGACATGAAGAAGTACCTGGCTCCTTTTCACATTGCCCCTTATTAGCCTCCTCCTGGGTTATCTTAATTCTATAGAATGAAAAGAAGAAATGTGCTTAATAGTGCTATAAAATCAACTATTTAGACCTCAGAGTTCATGGTCCTTCTAAGATCATTAAAAACATTTGTAAAACCAGAATGGACTGTAGATTTTGACAGTATCCCCAAGGTCAATGAAGATTATTGAAGACTGTCAAGAAAACATATGAAATGAGATAATAATAACGTACTACCAGCCATTATTGTTGTGTGAAGATGGTTCTTGGATTCTGATGGTTGAAACAACCATGAAAACCAATCCTCAGCTTCTCGCCTCTTAAAAGCACAGAAGTTCCATTTCTTTCAGAGGCCCAAACTGGAGTTCATAGGATGCCAGAGATGAAAGTACCCTAAATATCACCTGATCTTAAAATATGAAAAAACTGTGCTGTACAGATCTTGACTTGTGTGAAGTCAGAAAACTAAACAACAGAAAGGTCTCAAGAGGAGCATGAAAGCTGTCTTTGAATTTTGAAAAGCAATAATGTAAAAGAGGAATTAAAATTTGTCTGTGATCCAAAAAGGCTCAATTGGGACCTTTCTGGAGATGACTATTCTTCCAAATGTTGAATTTAAATGTTAATCATCTGAACTACCCAACAATGAGCTTCTTCATGAAGAAAGATGTGCCTCACCATCAGAAAGATCACTTAGGAGGAAAGTTGTATAAGAGAATAAATGATTAGAATTTTTTATGGAACTAGACCATTTAAGATCTCCAAATCTGAGCATTTATGATTCTAAAACCTAGTTCTTCAGATTCTTAGCCCTTCATCTTCTGCAAATTCTATCTTGGCCAACCAATATCATTCTCCAAGAATTTGGGATATGATATTTCTGTTAGCAGTTCCAGACACATTATCCCAAAGACACAGAAGGATGACACAAGAAGTGAAAAATGGGGGGGAAATGCCTTGCTGTTTTTCTCCATTTAGAGTCCAAATCCTCTAGTAATCTTGCCCATGGTTACGTTTTATATTAACACTATATTTTGCGTAACAGAGCAGGACATTTTGAGTTCCAGTTTTGGAAAGAGGAAAATCATTCAGGAAAGACAGAGATGAAATAACCCAGTGATCTCACTAACAAGACCAGAAGTAAGAGTCATGACTTGAAAACTATTAAAGACTGCCATTTCTGTAATTATGACGTGCATCAGAAGAACATTAGCTAATAAAGAACAAATTGGAAAAAGTTCAAGCAGAGAGACTGAAACCATCATTAAATTCCCAAATATAAAATTAAGCTGAATTATATTTCATTTTGTAGCTATCAAAAGAAAGTTCAGAAATGCCCCAAGGTGAAACATTGACAAGTCTGTTTCCTTCACAATGTTTATCCTATGAAGATGAACATTTCAAACATTTAAAAATAGCATATTCTTTATTCTGCACTATCTATCTTCCTCCTCCCCGCTCCCTCTCTCCAGCATTATCTTAATCACTATGATATGCAGTCATAACATTGGCACTATTTTCCTTCCTTGAGCATTTGTCAAAATAACAAATACATTTTATTCAATGTCTTAACAGCTAAGCAAATGTAACGGACCATTTTGATTGCTCTTCTTCTGTAGAAAGAATACCTAATTATTTTGAAATATGACCAAATCCTCCATCAATGAAAGTTAATAAATGAAGACATGCTTGCAATTTCCCATTACTATAGTCTTTGAATCTTTTCCAATAAAAGCTCTCAGGTCAAAATACTTTGCAGGAGGTTAGGGTTAACAGTCAAAGATCCAAGGAGCTTGTTAGAGGCCTTGACTCTGACGTAAAGAGCAGGTCGCTTCCTGCACTTTGCAGTTGAGGTTTTAGATGTCCACACAATTATCCCAGGCCTATGTGTTCCCTCTGAAGATCAAGATTTGCCTCTGTTATTATTGACTGTGATAATTAGCAGAAAAGAGGAGTACGCATTTTCTGATACTTTTTTCTAAAGTAGTTGCTTGAAAGGATTCTAAGGGAAGCCCTTAAAGAAACAATAATTCTGATTATTTGGCATGTTGCTTAGGAGTATCCAGTAGTATGTATCCCAGACTCATAAATGAGATGGTACCAGACCCTGCTCTTACTAACAATCACGACGGAGCATCAGTAGAAAATGATAACAGATGTCCTTTTCCTCAATACTGAAAGACTTGGCATTCAGGACAGCAGAGAAGCAAAAGACATAACATTTTACCGGTTGTTGCTGTTGTTTGATCCTGAGTCTTAGGCTGTGGATTATCAAACCAAGACCATATCCAAGGAATATGTTCCTGAGCTGCTGCATGGCTGTTTGAGTGCTCAGTGGAAGTAACTGAATCAATTGTGAAAACATCGTTTAGTGTGGACTTTCTACAAATTCGTTACTCTCAGTACTATCTATACATAATGTTTGTGTCTATTACAGAATGAAGATTAGAAAAGAAGGATTGAGGCCTTTTTTACATTTCCACTCTCCTAACGTCTCCTGGAAGCTTAGGATAAGATCAGAAAAACCAAGGTAATTTAAAAAATCTGATGAACAATATTAACTGTTGAATATAATAGAATCAGAGGTATGGAAGGGGAGTAAAC